AGGAATAATTCTTGCTGGGAGCAGCTCTGTGAAAGCTGGAGACAGCGGACACTTGTGTGTACCTGACTCGCTACCAGACAACTGGCTAAAAATGAATCTGCCTGCTCTGGTTGTGTTATATTAAGGCTTAGCATCGTGCTTCTCTAGCTTTTAAAACTTGGGGCTCCTGCATGTTGTAGTGTAGCAGCTGGGACCAGGACACACACTAGTTACATGGTGTATGGCTGTGAGATCAGCAGCCCTGGAGCCTTCAGCTGTTCTGTATAATGCAAAGTACTGATACACCTTAAATAGCAAACAGCTGTACAAGTACTAAAGTGTGTAGTAACTACTGTTAATCAAATGTAAAGCCACTGACTGGTTTGTTTGTATTTTTACTGTACATAAATTAAAGCCTCTTCAGTTGTTCAAGTGACTCAAGGTGTGACTCTTCAAATCAAACTTGAGACTAGAGTGAGGTTTCTGCTGTGCCTGTGCACGTGAGCTGCAGTCTCTTGTTCTGTGACTATTACAGGCTATTACTGACTATTACAGTGCAAGTGCATTAAAAAAGTGAAGAACAGTGTGAAACAGCTGCTTCTTTCTGCCTCTGAGCTGATGACTTTCACCCACAAATGATGCCAGCATTGTTGTTTTATAATGGCTCTGACACAGAATGTCTGTGCTTCTACTCTTTGTGCTGAAGTGAGAATCCTAAAGCCACCAGGGTGACTGTAATCCTAAAGCCACCAGGGTGACAGTGCTCTCTTCAGCACTGAAAGGTTCGGCACACCTATTTGGTACAGCAGTAGCGCTGGTAGTGTTGCTTCAAGCACTTGGAAAAGGCCCGCTTTTTGGATCCAGCCATCCCAGATGGCATGACTCCTTTTGCATCTGTACAAAAAAGCAGGAGCTGGAGGCAGCTTCTCATGGCAGAGAGCACAGCTGGGACAAGAAGATGAGATTCTGTGTTGAAGCTGCAAAACCAGGGCTGGTACTGCTGAGCTCTCCGCTGCAGTGGATCAGCCAGGTCATGTTTGTCTGGTTCCAACAGAGGTGAAGTGTTTTACCAGAGGCCCAGATTCAGCGGGACTGTTGTACCACCTAGTCCCATACTGGCTAGAAATGTCTGTTCAGTCACAGCTGCGTTCCTTGAGTCCTCCTGAAGTGGGAGTGGAGGCAAGTGCAGAAGGAAGCTGTGTTCTTCCTGGGATCTCTATGGGTTGGAGGGATGTCCATGTGAAAGGCCCAGGCTCGCCACTTTTTCTACCTACATGAAAAAAGATTAAGTGTTGCTTGCATCTGTACTACAGGCAGCTTCCTAATTGTCTTCATCTTCCAAAAATGGTTAATTCCTGCTGTCCAGAACCTGACTAGCCCTTGCAGAAGCCATTTGCAGTGAGGGGCTATAGGAGACCTCTCCCATCATGAGACCCGACAGGTTTGGGGATTCTTACAAGATTTCCTGCAAGTCATATGTTTAGGAGTTTACG